ATGGGTGGGTAGATGGATGGGTGGGTAGATGGATGGATGAATGGATGGATGGGTGGGTGGGTGGATGAATAGATGGATGGATGAGTTCTTAAGTGAAGGGAGGATTGTGGTCTGATGAGAAGCCAAAGAGTTCCCCTTGCTCTCCTCTATGCAGTGAGGATGACCATGTGTCAGAGCCCAGGATGACCCTCCCTGAGCCTATGCTGACCATGGAGGGCTGGAGGAGGAGGTTGCGGGAGTCAAACAAAGTGACAATGTTGACAGTGATAATGAGAATGGAGGAGGAAGAGGAGGGGGAGGAGAAAGACATGGAGGAGGGAAAGGAGAAGGAAGAGAAGGTGGCTAAAGGAGAGGAAGAAGAGAGGAAGAGGGAGAGGAAGCTGGACCTCCTGCCTACTCCCCTTCCTCCGTGTAGAAGCAAGTCACACATCACAGTAAAGACAGATATCCCTATCCATCATGACAGACCATAGTGCAGAGAGGGCACAAGATGGGAGGAGAATGGCCAACACTTCATACTGCTATGAAGAATCAGAGAAGGATGGAGGCCAGGGCTGCCTCTGGCCTCACATTCTCAGTGTTCCCACCAGCCGTGAGTGCACTGTCCTGAAGGCTGGGCAGGGCTGACGGCAGGGCTATGGCAGAGCACACCCACCATGAGTGCACTGTCCTGAAGGCTGGGCAGTTATTGTGGGATATTTTACTTTTTTTGCTTTTTGAGGGGCCCACCACACAGCTCCCAAATAAATCAAATGGAGGCTTACTATTACTTATGAATGCCTGACCTTAGCATGACTTGTTTCTTGCCAGCTTTTCTGTCTTAAATTATCCCGACTACCTTTTGCCTCTGGGCTTTTATCTTCCTCTATTTCTGAATACCTTACTTTACTTCTTTCTCTGTGGCTGGCTGTGTAGCTGGGTGACTGGCCCCTAATGGCCTCCTCTTCTTGATCTCTTGCTCCTCTTTTCCCTTGCGCCCAGATTTCTCCTATTTCTCCTCTCTGCCTGCCAGCCCCACCTATCCTTGCTCCTGCCTTGCTCTTGGCTGTTCATCCCTTTATTAGGACCATCAGGTGTTTTAGACAGGCACAGTAACACAGCTTCACAGAGTCAAACGAATGCAGTGTAAACAAAAGTCACACACCCGAAAATAATATTCCCCAGCAGACAGTGACGATGGCAGGGGCACCAGACTATATTGGCAGTTTGTCTTCCCCTGGCCAGGGAGCGCCTGAGGTGGGGCTGAGCAGGAAGTGATATATCTGGCTTCCTATATCTAAGGCTCCCAGAACACAGGGCAGGCGTCCAGTGTAGGTATACGAGGCCTAGCTGCCGGCACTTTGGCCAGGGTCCTAGTGATCTGGGTAATTAACAGAGTCATTTGGTTGACTTGTAGTTTATAATCTCTGTGTGCTGCTGCTGCTTTCCCTGGCTGCTAGGATGCTCAGCCATTCGTGTGTCATCCTCCTCCAGGGCCCGCATGGAGTCTCTTATGGGAATCCGCTAGTTATCTGTCTTGTTGGGCATCCCCACCCCGACTCCCCTTCCTCCAGATTCCCTCTGCGACTCTCTTACCCTTCCATGACTGGAAGCAAGAGGATACTGTGCCCTCGAATGCATTTGTTGACATCCCCATCACGTGAGCCGGAGGTTTAGGAGACTTGGCCTATTCCCATCTTATGTCCTGTTGTGCCAAGAATGTTGCTGGGACCAACAGACTGGCAGTTCCATACCCATCTGGCACCAGTGGGCGGAGGAAGGAAAGGGAAGGGGGAGGTTCATGAGATAGATTGCCTTGGGAAGGGAGAGACCATCTGCATCCCGCATGGACTGTGTGGCCATGGAGAAGTGGCAGCAGGAGGCATCCAAGACTGACCAGCCCCTTTCAGCTGTCCCTGTCCCTGGTGTGTCCTGTTCCTCACTATTTGTCAGGACAGTGGCACTTGTGACACCACAGTGTGGAACGGACTCTTGGGACCCCCTCATGTATTGGTTTGCGGTACCTGCAGGGAAGTCACATTAACAGAGCAGCCCTTCCCTGGTGGCAAATGGACCCCAGGCTGTTAGAGGTTCAGGGTGTGTATGACTAGCCTGGAACTCCTGATGTAGCCCAGGCTTTCTCAAACTTAAACAATTCCCCCCTGCCTCTGCCTCTCTGCATCTTCATGCCCCACTTGCATGGTGGTTTTGACCTCTTGGTTCTCCTTGGGTCTGTCGCCATCTGTGTTCCTGTCTCTGCCTGATTCTCTTCCACATCTGTACCCTGGTTAGGGAGAGGAGAGCAAGCAAGCCAGTCTCCAGTGGATCTGAGACAGGCAAGCACAGGAATAAGTGGGTAACCTGGATGCCACTTATTTGGGCACTTGCCCCCTCTCCTAGTAACACACTTGGCAGCCCTGCCCCTTTACCTGCCTGCACTACACACGCACACCCCTCTACAAACAGTGCTCCTAGCAACCCGAACCCCACCCAGGCCCCTGCCTGTATCGGGCTGCGCATACACTCCCAGTTGAACGAGGGCTCATTTTCTTCCCTTGACAACCGTCAAACTTGACAGTTCCCCTCGATCATGCTCTATGTCCAGGTATGAGACCAGAGAAGGATGATCTGACCTGAGCTCATTTTGGGGTCCATTCTCAATAAGGCAAACAATGTCCTGAAAGTCAACTCTGGGGGAGAAAGCCCCCTACTTGTCATCTTATGTCTGTACATAATTAGACACACACATGATAACAATCAGAAGCATCATGTACAGTAGAGAAATGACTACGTGACCAATTGTCAGTCTGAATAGAGAACAGTCCTTCCTTCTCTCAAACACCACGAAGGGAACCACAGAAAATAAACTACTGGGTCCTTGACTCATGTGGCCTGCTAGTCCTTTGCATCCCAGTTATAAGTGGCACTCCCTCACTACTTTTGCATAAGTGGGTTAGCTTTTATCTCAGTTCCTTGATTAGGAGACCAGGATCTGGGATTACATCACACAGACTGAGACCACAGGTAACAGGTGGGCCACCAGGTTGCTACTGTCCTCAGAGTGACAGACACATCACACTACTTGGACTTTCCTGGGCCATCTGCAGATGGAGACTGCTCTTTCATTTCCCAGCCTCCCAGACCCAATTAATCACACAGAAACTGTATTAATTAAAACACTGTTTGGCCAATGGCTCAGACATATTCCTAACTAGCTCTTACATAAATTAACCCATTTCTATTAGTCTATGTATTACCACATGATGTGGCATTACTTCATTTTCTACGTGTCTTCTTTCCTCCGGGGCTGGCTGGCGGCTGCCTGACTCTGCCTACTCTCTCTCTATATCTCTGTTTGGATTTCCTGCCTTTCTTTACTCTGCTAAGCTATTGGCCAAAACAACTTTATTAATCAACCTATAAAAGCAACACATATACAGAAGGGCATCCCACATCATCCATCTGTCTGTGTGCCCATGTCCTAAATCACCAAGAAGGAGGGACCCTGTTGTCTGAGTTTCTGTCCCTTTCCATTCCGCAGTCATTAAGTCCCAAAGAAATCACATATTAGTTATAACCGGATTGGCCTAGTAGCTCAAACTTCTTATTAACTCTTAAAACTTATGTTAGCCCATTATTCTTATCTATGTTAGCCACGTGGCTCGGTACCTTATTTGGTGAGGCAGTCACAGCTTGCTTCCTTTGTGGCTGGGTCACGACTGCAGACTACAGAATCCTCTTCCCAGAATGTTCCTGTTCTTATTGCTCCGCCTCTACTTCCTGCATGGTTGCCCCGCCTATACTTCCTGCCTTGCTACCAGCCAATTAGCATTTTATTAACCAAGTACAAGAAACAAATGTTTACAGGGTAAAACCATTGTCTCACTGCAAGGCCCCGCCCTGGACACTCAGGGGTTGGCTTACTCTGCAGCCGTTACCTGGGATGGTCTGATGGGCAGACCTGTGCTGTGTTCTGCTGCTGTGCCTGGTCTGTGCCCAGCTCTTGGACAGCTGATGAGCAAGGGAAGGGGCCTGGGGGAATTTTGTGGTTCCTTGATGCCTATGTGTTGAAATAATAAGAGCGGCGGGGCTGCGTCCCCGGCACCCGGCTGCCCACATGGCTAGCTTATGCCCCGAAATAATTACACGGAAACTGTATTCTTTTAAACACTGCCTGGCCCATGAGTTTCAGCCTCTTAACCCATTTCTAATTATCTATGTAGCACCACGAGGTGCGCTTACCAGGAAAGATCTTAACCTGCATCTGTCTGGAGTGGGAGAACCATGGCGACTCCCTGACTCAGCTTCTTTCTCCCAGCATTCTGTTCTGTCTACTCCGCCTACCTAATTTTCTGTCCTATGAGGGCCAAGGCAGTTTCTTTATTAGTTAACCAATGAAAGCAACAGATAAGACACAAGACCCACCTCCATCACCTATGTGTATAGGGCATAAGCCAAGGGCTTGGCACAGTCTGCACAGGGAGAGGGTGAAGATTTCCTGGAGGGAAAAAACACTTATCTGAGTACATTGCTTACATCCAATATGTGTGTCTAAACTCCAGTCCCCACATAGCCTGCATCTCAGGATCGCTATAGATGCAGCCCAGAGCCCAACATGTTTTGTGGATGGCAGTGCCATGTCCAGCGTAGAGGAGAACTGGGGAGGAAAGCAGTGTAGGCAGTAGGCACAGCATGTGCAAAGGTCCTGGGGCAGAGGGCAGTTCATCATGCAGTCTATCAGCCTTTAGACCATGACGGTAAAGTGGTAGGGTGGGCAAGGTCTGTAAACTGTAAGGGCTATGGGAGGAGGGTCACCATGGAAGGAAAAAGGATCACACCACTCCTAAATTACCCTGCCTCCTGTGTGTACTGTGTCAGAGGAGGCCAGAGAACGTCCAGTCCTGCGCCCACTCCCTGAGCTGTCTACTTTATGCAGTCGCGTAAAGAAGGATGATCGATCGCCTGGGTCTCTGGAGCCTGATCATCATCTCGTGAGAACCGTCCCTGTTCTTATCTTGCAGATGAGATGGACCAAACTCCCCCAGCACGCTCCGAGCCTCTGGTCTCAGGGATTCGAACTCCCCCTGTGCGGAGGAACAGCAAGCTGGCCACACTGGGCAGGATCTTCAAACCATGGAAATGGAGGAAAAAGAAAAACGAGAAGCTGAAGCAGACAACGTCAGGTATGGACCTGGGGATGGCCTGGGGACCTGCAGAGGCCAGAAAAGGGGGTTAGGTCCCCAGGAACTGGGGTCACAAACAGCTGTCAGCAGCCAAAAATGGGTGCTGAAAACTCAACCCAGGTCTCCTGGAGGAGCAGCAAGTTCTCTACTGCTGAGCCATCGCAGCCCCCAGGGTTCCCATTCGCTCTCACAGACCACACCCCACAAGCCCTCAGCTCACAAATGGCTGTTTCGTGGCTCTGACCCTTCAATTTAGACAAGGCAGGGGCCTAACTGTGGCCCTCACTGCTCCTAGGATCTGCCTGGTTGATGCTGAGGGTCAAAATCCAGGCTGTGGTCCAGTTTCTGTCACCCCAGCTCTAAGAATGGTCTAGAGATGCTCACCCCACCACCTCCTATCCAAGGATCCAGAAGGTTCTCACTCACTTGTACTGCACCCTCACACCCAAATTGGTGGGAAATGGGATTTCACCTTTGCCATCTCAGAATCAACCATGTGATTGGTTCCAAGAGTGCAGTTAGACATGCATGGTGTAGACGATGGAATGATCAAATGAGAGGCCACAGCAGCAGGTGCTGCAGGGCCGGGGCTGGCAGCATCTGGCAAGCATGCACCTCTCTGTGAGGACCCCTCTTTTGAGAGAGAAAAGGACTCGGAGAGAGGCTGTGGACCCAGGGCAGGAGTGCTGGTGGGAACTGGAGCACAGGCTACCAACCCTGGGCTCCTGGAAGCTCAGCTTCAGCTTCCTGAGCCACCAACCCCAGGAGCCGAGAAGCCTGGGCCTTAGGGCCCTCCCGCTGCGCCACTGGCATATTAGCTGCAGCTGTAAGCAATTAGTGAGGTTGCTGTGTGTGTGTGTGTGTGTGTGTGTGTGTGTGTGTGTGTGTGTAGTTAGCTCCCCAGCCCCAGGGACCTGCCAGGCAAGTGCCTGTCTCAGGCTATTGCCTCTGGGGTCCCAGGAGCCCCAGCTTCCTGCCCAGCTCTGACACATGCATGCCCCAGGGCTGGGAGGATGGTGGAGACAAAGCCACTCACTCACAGCATGGGGTGGGGTGGGGCGTGGTGGGGGCGCATAAGATGGCAGCAGAGGACTCAGCATCCACTCTTGTGTATGCAATTTACCAAATTATTTTAACCATTCAAGAAGTTGATTGACAAATTACTCTTGACAAGAATGAAAACAAGATGAACTGTTGAAGAATTTGCAAGCGTTCCCAGTGTGCCAGGCAGGCAGAAAGCAGATGAAAGCTGGGTCCTGTCTCCAAGGTCTTGCCCAGAGGCCAGGGCCTGACTGAAGCAGGGGACCCCTGTGACCCTGAGTGCTGTGTGATTGGAAGGCTGGGAAGATTGGGTCTGTGGCTCTGGGCCCCAAGGTTCTGTAGCACTGTTCCTGCTCAGGGTTGTCAGGCTTCCTTGGCGACCCTGAAAGGCCCCAGAGATACCTGTAGCAGCCCTGCCTTTGAGTTCCCAGCTTAGGTGTTTGGAGATTGGGTAACAGCACCATAACCCACATCCTTACTCCCAGCCCCTCCCCCTTTGGTGCTGTAAATTTTAAGCTGTCCCGTCCTTGGTCCGGACGTTAGGATGAGATGTAGCAGAGGCCTCTGAGCTCTACAGAGCATGTGGGGTCTGCTGTCCTTAACTGACTCTGGGTTAGCAATCAGACTTGAGGCAATGCTAGCAATGTCCTATGTCCCAACCTGCCTGGGGGAGCCTCCGATGCTCTCCCTTCCCCCTCCCCCTCCCCCTGTCCTCCAGTCAACCCTCATTGTCCCCTCCTCCACACCCCTGTCACTTGGAAATGGGTTGGAAGTTGAGGCTCCAGAAAGGAAGCTCACCTGAGAGGATCTTGTTCTGTTGCATCCTGAGTCCCCATCCATCCATCCTTCAAACGGGTGGTCCCGGTGGGCTCCCTTCTGTGCTTCTGATTCCACACTGCAGCCTGTAGGCGTGTGTCCTTTCTTCCATTCAGCCTGCTGGTCACAGGTAGAGACCAGGCCTGTCCTGCTCAATGCCCAGTACACAGGGCACACAATAGGTGCTCCGGCAATGTGAGATCAGTTGTAATGGGTGGACAGGGCACACAGTAGGCGCTCCGGCAATGTGAGATCAGTTGTAATGGGTGGAAGGTCTTCTTATCCCATGCTCTGCAAGGATGGAGACAGATTGGTCCCCCCCCCCCCCCCCAGGGATTCCTGGCACCTAACTCAGAACATGGCTTAAAGTCATACTCAGTAAATACTTTAGAATGTTTGCATGGTCAACCCTTGTGGGTACTCTGAACTCTGACAGGTAGGCCACCTGTGTTCTTGGCCACCTGCCAGAGTTTTGCCCCCAACATAGACAGTGTCTTTGGGACCCCATTGACAATCAGGCTTCACTCCAAGCTTTCAAAGAAAGCATCTGAGATCTAAGTAACTGTGTGTGTGTGTGTTTTTTTTTAATTTGAGGTTCATCTATGATGTGTGTGTATCTGTGTGTGTGAACATCTCTATATGTGTATCTCTCTGTGTATCTGTGTTTGTGTTTCTCTCTCTCTCTCTCTCTCTCTCTCTCTCTCTCTCTCTCTCTGTGTGTGTGTGTGTGTGTGTGATTGGTTGACTTGAGTCAGTGAAAGTGATGTCCGGTGTCCTCTCGGTGTGTCTGTCTATGTGTTTCTCTGTCTGTGTGTGTGTGTGATTGGTTGACCTGAGTCAGTGCAGCAGTGTCGTATGTCTTCTGGGAACACCCCAGGGACAGCCAGAAGAGGGTTGACCACAATACATCTGGTGGATCCCCTGAATGCTGTTACCTGGAGATGCCTGGAAGGTGCTTCCTGAGGAGATACACCATCAGAGTCAGTAAAAGTTGGCACTAGCCACAGCAGGATACCCTGAGCACTGCCGGTAAAGGGAGGGTGGCTCCATCATCTGTGAGTGAAGGATCTGTCGCAGAGGGTGAGCATGGCCTTGGAGCCAGGTAAAGGAGCTCTCATGAGAGTACCTTGCAGAGCATTGCAGAAACGATCTCTCAAACATGACCCGGGACCCGCTTTCCTGTGGCTGGCGTTTTGGACAATGCTTATTTGATGTAAACCCAGAATCGCTGCAGTCTCGGGCATCTACTGTCTCCCCATCTCTGTCTCTTCCTGTTAACCAAGAGCACGTGGCGGTGGTGTGGTGGCCTACACTACCTCTGCTGTTGACTTAACTGTCTCTTCCTGTGCACGTGGCGGTGGTGTGGTGGCCTCCACTGCCTCAGCTGTGACTTAACTGTCTCTTCCTGTGCACGTGGCAGTGGTGTGGTGGCCTCCACTGTCTCCGCTGTGACTAACTAGGCCTTTGTGTGTCCCACAGCGCTGGAGAAGAAGATGGCTGGCAGGCAAGGCCGGGAGGAGCTCATCAAGCAGGGGCTGCTAGAGATGATGGAGCAAGGTAAGTGGGCTCCCAGGAAGGTGGGGTCCCTGGGGCAGAGCAGACCCCGGGTGGAGTCATAGGAGCATAGGGACAAGAGGTGGCGCCCTTAGGGGTATGGGGACCACAGTGGAGCCTGTCAAGTCTGATGGCTCTCAGAGCTCAGGAAATCCTTTGGAGAAGGAAGCGGGTACCTGTGGCCAGGTGGGGGCTGTTCTCCAGTTCTCCAAGAGTGGAGCAATAGTTTGAGTCAGGAGCCAAGGTAACAGAGCACCCACCTCCTCCATGGGTGTTTCCAGTGACTGTTCACTAGGGCAGGTGGAGGGCGCTTCTTGAACCTCCCACTCTGTCTCTAAGTGGCAGCCACGGATTTTAAGTGTGAAGTTTTCTTCATATTCGCACATTAAGTCCTCAATTTGAAGAAATGATGATCATCCCTGTGGTGGCCACCTAGCTAGTGTCTCTGACTGAGGGCTGGCTGGGTGTTCTGCACACCTTGCCTTTGAGTGCCGATGTCACACCCACACAGAGCTGAAGCCCGGTGCAAGCCTGGGTCTCTGGGCGCTGATCTAGCAGGTCTCATCCAGTCTGTGCTCACAGGACCACGTCTGTGCTCACAGGACCACGTCTGTGCTCAGATTAGTCAGTGTCAGCACAGGTAACAGGGACCAGCACACTTCAGTTCCGTCTTTCTCTTGCCACATTGGGGTCCCGTCAGCTCCTGACCCTTGCCCTCTGTGCTTTGTGACTCTCTGGGTCTGTAAGTCTTGGATGGTGGGATGGGCTCACAGTCCCTCCTTGTTCTAAACTCTCCCTGGTCTAGAGCAAGCTCCCCTCCGGGGTTCGGGCACCTGTGGAGCTTGTGTGCGTTCACTCCTGTCTCCCCCTTTCTGCTGGTGTCTGCAGTTTGACCCAAGTACCAGGAATTAGGAAGTGAACTCAGGACATAAATGAGTCTTCTCTGCCTTTCCTGCCACGGCAAATGGCAGCTCGAATGATCTGGCCTCCATAAATTATGTCTCATCCGGTGTTTGGTCATGGAGATGAGAACGGTCACTGAAACAGTCTTCTTGCTGGCAGAATGCCAAGGCAGAACAGTGTTGTGTGGACAGAATCTCCATGCTATAACTGAGTGTATGAGTACCCCGTCTCTATCTCAGTGTCTCTCCTTCTCCCCAACCTGAGGCTCTGTCCTCGGAGCCGCATCAACCCCAACCACTTCCAGGTACCTGACTGTTGGTTTGAGTTTCTACCCTCTGAATGCCGCTAACCTATGACTTAGGGACTTAAACTCCTGCCCGAGTTGTGGAGGGATGGTGGATCACAGGGGTTCTGCAGTCTGCTGTGGTAACCCATCCCTGCTGCTCTGAGGCAGAAACAACCACAGAAAAATACATACTGAGCAGGTGTGGTTATGGGCATAAAGATTTGAATTTTCAATCATCTCATGAATCGCGAACTATTATCTTTCCTTTGGTTTCCTTCCCAACCATTTAAATATGTGAGATCCATTCTTAGTTCAGGGACACATGGAGCAGGTGGAAGGCTGCCTCCCACGCAACAGCCTTTCAATCCTGCCGAGCGACTGGGCCAGGAACTGGCGTGGCCTGAAGCTGTCTCCATCCTAGATAGCTGAGCATTCAGGTGTGAACCTATGCTGCGAAACTTGCCGCTGTGTGCCAGGGTCTGTGTTAGCTGGCAGATACGCCAGCCGCTAAGACGCTGTCCTCTCAGAATACAGAGCCTGTGGGACACAGGCATCAGGGGCCCCTACAAATGCACATCCCAACTGAATGAAGACTGGTAAAGGCGGGCACACGTGAGGCACTTGGAGGCCTTGGCATGGGTTTGAGAGATGTTGCTTGTGGACAGAAGGTGAGTTAGGTGCCTCGCTCGGCTTTCGTCTGGTTGCACAGGAATGCGTGGGAGCTGGTTTTGTACCTACTAAGCTGTAGCTGGGCACTTTCAGGAGACCTCTGCTAGTGGGCAGCACTTAATGAGGTGTTCTAGGGTAGGGGCTCCCCAGCTGACTCCAGCTTCCTGGGCATGGAGACTGCCTCTCTAGCAGCCCTGGGAGCACTGAGTGTCAGGTCCCACCGTGCAGGGGGTAGGGGAAGGGACCAGAAGGACTAGAGGACAGTGAGGGAGAAGAGGACATAGGTGCAAAATGCCCTTTTCTTCTCTCTTGCACATATCAGGGCTGGGGCGGCAGGGGCATGTCCAGGCTGTCTGGGGAGGGGATCTGGGAGTATGCAGAGAGCTCGTGAACAAAACCAGTGTCTCAGGCTGCAAAGACAAGGGCCACAGGGGTTGTCTCAGGAGGCAGGGAACTTTCTTTTCCCAAGACTGACTCCCATGCTGTGAGCCCTTTGCCTGTCCTTAAATACACATCACAAAGTGTCTGCAAAGACTGCTGCATACCCCTGCCCGGTGAAGCGCAGGGAGGAACTAAGCAGAGGCCCGAAGCACAGGGTGACTTTTAACCTTAACCCAGACTGGACTTCACCCAAGTCACAGAGATCTGGAGTCCAGTGGTGGGGGGTCAGTATGAAGACTATGGACCCCAGCACCTCCACCTTTCCCTGTGGGGGTGGACGTGGGTCAGCTTTTCTGACGGGGGGGTTGTGGATTCTGGCTCAGCTCTGCTTTCTCCCAGGCAAGTGGGATCAATTTGCAGCCAGGGGTGCCCCCTTGTGGTCAACCTCCCTCATGGAGCCTGTTACACTGAGGCCAGACTTCATCACCAGGCAGCTCAGGAGGCTGCCAAAGAGGAAGTGAGGAGGGAGGTCACAGATGTCCCCAGATGTGCCCAGAATCCTTAGTGGACCCAAGAATTTTTCCTGGAAAATCCTGCACCTCAAACCCACAACTGTAAAGGGATACACACACACACAATTGTAAATGGACACACCCACACCCACAATTATAAATGGACACACACACACCCACAACTGTAAATGGACAGACACACACCTCACACCCACAATTGTAAATGGACACAGACACACACACACCTCATACCCACAATTGTAAATGGATACACACCCACAATTGTAAATGGACACCCACAATTGTAAACGGACACCCACAATTGTAAATGGACACACACAATTGTAAATGGACACACACACCTCACACCCACAACTGTAAAGGGACACACACACCTCACACCCACAACTGTAAAGGGACACACACTCCTAACACCCGCAGCTGTAAGTGGACACACACATACACACTCTTTGGAGCTTGCCTCTGAAGCAACCAGGCAGAGGGTCGCTTGGCCTCTGAACAGGGATGGCAGGAGCGACCCTGCACGTCCTTGTGAGTACCTTGGCCCCCTGCCCCTCACATCTCTGCCGGGCTGGTTATCTGCTGGGCTGCAGGAGGGACCTTATCTGTGGCACTGTCAGACAACTGTGCTGTGGGGAGGAGAGGTGATCTTTTCCCACTCTGCCTCCTCTGCCCATTTCCCACGTCTGAGAATGTCTCTAACCCACCTTCTCAGTAGGAATAAGGTCCTGCCCATTTCTGGTGTGGACAATACTCATTTCCTGAATGGCCCCCTCCCCTGCTTCCCTTACCTTCACCTGTTGACTTTATGTTTTCTTCAGTAATGTAAGGACTCTTGTTTCCCAGCATTGATTACTTTATAAGAGACACATTAGTTGTTACTGAGTTCATTACCTGGGAGTCATGAGGCTCCCGAGGGTTGTGACAGTGGAAGCCTGTCTGGTCTCTGTATGTCTGCATACACACGATGTGGTATGCATGCACGCGTGTGTTTCTGGGCATGTCTGTGTCAGGTTCCTCTCACGTAGCTGCTCAGTAGATAACAGCTGCACAGCTCTGCATCCCCCTTGCTGCTCTGGGAAGAGAGCAGCAGTGATGGAGGAGGCCAGCTGACCCAGTGAGAGAGGACCAGGGCACGAGCCCCACCTATTGTGATTCTGGGCAGGAGCTCTATGCACAGCCCAGAACGGGACAGCAAGGCTGCCGAGCTGCAGGTACGGCCTGTGCAGACTGGCTGGGATCCGCTGGGCTGACTTCAGTGATGGTTTCTGCTGTTTGTGTTTTTTGTTAATACTGATGATGAGGGGATGCAGTTGTCACCAACAGCAGACATGGGCCCTTTGTCAGGCTCGAGCCCACCTAAGCAGTGAGCAGCTCCCATAGGGGAGTTGGGGGGGGGGACTCAGAGTGGCAGGACCCACCACGTACTCACTTGTCTCTGGCACAGCACCCATCCTGATGTTGGTAAGAGTTGGTGGGGTGGTTAGGGTCAGGGCCTGGGCTCTGGCATTCTCTAGGAAGCCAGATTCATCAACCTGTCCTCAATTAGGCCAATTAAAGGCAAAACAATAGAGGAAAAAAACGTATTTATTAAGTGGGAAGAACAGAGCGGTCCAACGATTCCCTACGTCCTGGCAAGAAGTTCAGTTTTAAAGCAAAGGCAGGAGGATGCACAGCAAAGCCATCCGGGTCAGGATGTGGCCCCACAGCCCCCTCAGGCCCTGGATGTCTCTCCAGCAAGGTCTAACAAGCTGCCAGCACTGTGTGGAATCTCTTCCAGGGAGGCAAATTCCCCCGAGATGACCCAGACTTCACCTTCTCCTCCTAGCATGAGATCCCTGGGGGAATGAATCCCTGGGGACCATTGTTGGCCAAATGGAGGATAAGAGTGTTTCTTTCGAATACCTGCATTCCTGGCATGGTGGTGACAGTAAAGCAGACCCTCCTATCTGTCAGGTTGTTTCAGTGAGCAGCCACAGTGAGCACCCCTGCCGCAGAGAACATGTGTGAACATAGAACACACATGCAGTGTACATATATGAACATACAACACACGTGCACAGTGAAAGCACTTGTGTGTTCTATGGGATGTGTGTGCACATGTATACATGGATATGCACAAAGGAGCACAGACACAGGAGCACATGTGCATGCACACAGGAGCACATATACACAGGAGCACACACACACACACTCTCACACACACAGGAGCATGCACACCCTGTCCTGTGTTGTTTCCACATGGAAATTAATCAGACTTATCATCAGCGTGCAGATTCCAGAGATGCCTCACGATGTCCAGGTCACCGTGCTCAGCGTCATGTCATGTCGGCCTCAAGAGTAATGACATTTTCACAGTGCCTGCGGAGCCTGGCAACAGAGACCGTCTCGGAGATGTGTCGAGAACAAGCAAACCAGTCACAGGGGACTAACCTTCACTCTTGAGCTTGGTGGTGTCTGTTGCTATGTCCTTGGCTATCCCAGATTTGGCCCTGGCCGCAAGAGCCAGAGGCCACACGTGATCCAGAGCTGCACACCTTTGGTCTGCTAAGAGGTTTCTGAGGCTTCCCAGGCCTTTCGTGAGATGAAAGCATGGGAGAGAGTAGATCATGTGGCCCAGCGGTGAGCGGTCACCCTGTGGCCCAGCGGTGAGCGGTCACCCTGTGGCCCAGCGGTGAGCGGTCACCCTGTGGCCCAGCGGTGAGCGGTCACCCTGTGGACCAGCAGTGAGCGGTCACCCTGTGGACCAGCAGTGAGTGGCCAGCAGTGAGCAGTCACCCTGTGGCCCAGCAGTGAGCAGTCACCCTGTGGACCAGCGGTGAGCGGTCACCCTGTGGCCTAGCGGTGAGCGGTCACCCTGTGGACCAGCAGTGAGTGGCCAGCAGTAAGCGGTCACCCTGTGGACAGCAGTGAGTGGTCACCTTGTGACCATCAGTGATCGGTCACCCTGTGGCCAACGGTGAGCAGTCACCCTGTGACCCAGCAGTGAGCGGTCACCCTGTGGCCAACAGTGAGCAGTCACCCTGTGGAAATGAAGTGGATAGTCTTGGAGCCCCCAGTGCAGTAGGCAAGACTGTCTAGTAAAAAGGGGTCTTTGACCCTGAAATAGAATGATTCTCTACTCCTATGAGGGAAGCCAGTGTGGGAGGCCATAGCCAGAAGAGCACCCTGGTGTGTCCCAGGGCTTTGAAATCTCCGCAGACCATACGGCCACACTGTGTTGTGTCTGTCTGCATAAACTGGGGACCAAGAGCTTCCCATGGGAGACCATGTGAGTTCCCTCCATCAGACTGGGTTGGGCATTCTGATCAGCGTCCCTGGAGCTGTGTGACTGGAAACGTCACTTTGTGATAGTCACTAGGGGCCTAGAAATTCCTGCCTCAGTTTCCCCATATTCCAAAAGAGATTGGGTAACAATATCGGCAAAGGGAGACTCATTGTTTAGGTTTCAATTTACCAACTGAATTAGGTAAAGCTTTGGCCACGCAAACAGCTTATCTCTAGAACCCAAGTAGAAGATCTGGGTATGGCGGCATTGCCTGTGAGCCCGCCCACCACCCAGCAGGCAGGGCCTCCGGTGTTCACTGGCTGGTTTGTCCGACCTATCGGGTAAGCTTCAGGCTTACAGTTTGGCCAAAGCTGCGGGACAGGAAGCTTTTTCCTCCTCACTGCCACCCCTGCCTTTGCGCTGTAATCTTGTAGGGAAGATCAAATGAAAACTAGGAACCATACAAGTGGTGACTTACTTGTTACTTGTGAGATAAGCCCCCAGAAAGGGGTGAGTCTCCTCCCTGGGAAATGAGCCTGTCTGGTGCCTGGCTTCTGGCTTTCCCTCCCAGACTGAATTCCTAGGGAATGTTTAATCCTGTGGGCCCAGTTGTTTTAGGGTCCCTGTTTTAAATCTTGCCCTCAAAGGCTGAGCCCTTTCCAGTGAAGAAACCATCCTGAGGGTGACAAGCCAAAGGACAGACCCTCAGATACCTCAGCCATTGAGCTGCAGTAACAAGAAGAGGCTGGCCTTGGGAAATAAGCTGTGTAAATTCTCACTATTTCCCTCCATCCTTGGCCTTGACCATTGCTGAGTTTGAGACGCATGTTCACCACCTGGGGCAAAGGTTAATCTCGAGGCACGTAGTACATGGTTGACATGCATTGCTTCGTGGTGACTGATAGTCAGTGGTGGGTACAGAGAAGACAGCTGTCTGCAGCCACCATGAGACAACCCTAGCACCCCTGCAGTCACTCCAGCACCCTGAGGATACCTGCCGTCAACATTTATTGCCACATCTCAGATGTTCCTGGCTCAGTTGCCCGATTCTGTTGTTAGGATGAGGACCATGGTACAGGTGCAGGAGGGAGCAGTGGGGACAGACAGACTATTGAAGTCATTTTAAAAGTGCATGGCAAAGGGCTGGGAGTTGGTGGGGGGATCACCCTTCTCTCAAAGGTGTTAAAGTACTAAGATGCACATGGAGAATGGCCCTTGGGTGTGAGGGTACCGGGCTCATCAGAAAGCACAGTGTGGAGAGAGGAACTTGCAGCGGAGTGTGGGGTTCCATGTCAGGGCATCCGTGGCATCCTTTGCAGGAGGCCTCTGCCTGATAGAAGGATGTAAATGGGACATGACTGACTCTGCTGGCTCAATTTCTCTACAGATTCTGAAAGTAAAGCATGCAGTCCCAGTGAAGGCCCCCAACCTGCACAGAGTGAGCCGTCCACTGCCGAGCAGGAGACACCAACCTCGGAGGGTGTCCAGCCCGGAAGTCCCTTGGCCAGTGGGACAGACCAGGCCACCCAGGATGAGCTTCTGCCTTCCGATGCCAATCCGGATGACACAGGTACCAGCGGTCTGAGTACTCCTCACCAAGGGCTTAGACAGTCACCTCACTGTCAAGCCTGGGTACCTCAGTTATGCCACCCTCAGCCTCGTGGCTGAGAGACCTAAGTGTCCCCTGAAATTCTCTTCTCCTGGATCCTCCCAAATTGGGTGTGGGAGGAGTGAGGGACCTAGGATGGCCATGGGTGGCCTCCTGCCACTTTCCCCTGAAGTCACCGAATATACAGCCAGCCCCCAATGGGTGTGTCCTGGAGCAGATGGTCTCTTTCCCTGAGATGCCAGAGCAAGTGTGTGAGGTGGGAGAGCCATGCTGTGCTGTGGTCGGAGTTAGGCTCTCTGCAGCTGCTCAGGCAGCGGCTGTTGTGGGATCAGCATCAGGAATGTGTGGAGCACAAAGGGTCTCGGGACCACGTTCACAGTAGCCAGCTTCGGAGGAGTGGGGACCGGGCTGGTGTCTTTGTTTTAAAGGAGTAGACGGGACCTTTGGTGACAAGAAGAAAAGCAGGAAGGAGCTCAGGCCCCTCACTCCCCCTGACCAAGCAGCACCTTAAGCTACCCTCTGAGGTGTCACTGTAGCCCTGGGAGCCTGTTCTCTCATGCTGTCCCATGCCTGAACCCATGCTAAACAGCTTGGGGACTGGAGTTTGAACCCTACAACTTTCTAGGGGTCTTGGGAATCCAGGCCGTGGGGTGAAGCCACTGGGCTTCTGCTCCCTGGCCTCTCCTTCCCCAAGCTATGGTCACTGGGTGCTCTTTGCTAGCTTCCTCTCCCCAGATTCCCTGCAATGCTGGCAGCTGCTCATGGTGTGTGCTCTGCCTCTTGGGTGGCTGTGCCTCTCCAGTCTCTCTTGGCCTGGGGACATAATGGGAATTTGGAGTCTGAGGAGTTGTGGACCCAGGGAGGAAAGGCCCCAGCTGTGTTTAGCTTTTACCCCTTAGTTCCAGGCAGCTGACCTCATAGGGCTGTGGTTGGCACAGTGACTGTGAGTACAGCCTGTATTCTGTGCTCACTGTTCCCCAGCCCTGGACTTGACCTTCAAGTATTCCTGCCTGTCTGGGTCTCTGCTCTCAGCTCCACTGCTAACTAACACTTCTTGGTAGTTCTTTGTTCTCACTTGGCTCTGAATAGTTCCAGATGATACCCATGTCTGACCTCAGGGGCTTTCCAGGTACAAGGCTTAGGGATGGCCTCCTGCTGCTGAGGTCACCATGCTGGCCTTCAGAGCCAAGCCAAGACAGATCCTGGCAGAGGAAGGGGAAGCTCAGCCCTGGAGGGGAACAGCTTACATGCATACACAGTAACAGGGCAGGAGTGAAAAGTCACTTCTGTGCAGCGTCACAGCGAATGCTGTCGTCTCAGGAATTGGGGCATCTGATTAAGACAGCAAAGTGCGTCTGCCCCAAATCACCAGGGGTGTGTGAGTGAAAGGCTCAGCTCGTTGCTAGAGATTGCTCCCTGCCACTGCCCACAGGCTGGGCTGATGACCTTGGCCCTCTAAGAAGCAGGAGAGACTATGGGCTTGAATATGGTGAAATATGGCCTGTGTGGGCTAGACAGAGACAGGAGGATGGCAGCTGGCATGGTTCCCAAGGCCTGGGCACAGCCCAAGGGTAGCAGGAAGCCCAGCAAAGAGTGGCAAGGGACTTGGCTGACGGCAGGCTCTGGGCTGTGGTCAGTCGGGGTGATGCCTGGCTCGTGTGAGTCTGAGGGATGTAGGCTTCTCATTTTCCCAGTTGAGATGTTGGTGGATCCTGAGTCCTTGGGGCTGCGAGAAGACGTCATGAGAGATATGGGCAGATAGAAGACATCTCCATGACGCCTTGTTTCCTGGACTTCTCATCCTCGGTCTCGAGAGAGATTTGATCCCCCCACCCCTTTGTGTGTGTGTGTGCACACGTGCACGCATGTGCACATGCACGTCTGTGCATGTGTGTGTGTGCACACATGTGTGTGCGTGTGCATGTCTGTGCATGTGTGTGTGCACATGTGTGTGTGTGGTGTGTACAGGTGCATGTGGAGGCCTTAGTTTGGTATTGGGAATCTTCTCTGGTCACTCTTCCACTTTATTCTTTGAAGCGGAGTCTCTCAGTCAAACCTGAGCTGGCCAATATGGCTGGTTCCACTAGTAGGCTTGCCTCACCAGGCTGGAATGACAGGAGAGTCACCGCACCCACAATCATGTCTGTGGCTCCTGAGGATTCATGTCCCTTTGCTCTTCCATGCATGAGAGTGCAGTAGGGGGCAGGGAGCGCTGGGTTTTCAGGTGAGGCTCTTGTGAGCCTTCCCGCCTCTCCATGAGAGCATGTAGACAGTCGGGACACCCAGCGGGGATGGAGGCTCCTTTCCCAAGTGGGCACAGCTGACCTTCCCAAGATGGCAACTGCTTTGCTTGGCTTGGAGGACAGTCACTCACAACACAAACTGTTTCTGGTCCTGGGCTTTGCCCCCTCCTGTGGAGGTTGAGGGGTTTGGAGCCTATGTCCTACCTTCGGGTCCCTATTTGGGCTGTTATTTGGTGACTAAAGCCCGAGGCTACCATGGTCCTCACCTTTCCCTTAGAGCTAGGGAGGCCAGACGCTGATCCAGAGCTGTCAGCTCTCTTTACTGTCCCACATCTGCTCAGTGCTGGAGGGAGCCGCTGCATCTGGGCCTTGTCCTTCTTTGTGGAGCTGATTTCATAACAGACAGATGTCACTTGACAGCAAAGAAATCCAGAGTCTCAGGTGAACAGATCAGGTGAACACTCACGCCTAAGCTTTCCCCGACCTTGGGCAAGCCCCTGTCCCCAACACCCAGGTGCCTTCTAGAAGGGTCAGGGTCAGATGCTTTCTCTCAAAAACCAGATCTTCCTTGAACTGAGTAAGGTCAGGGAGAAGTCATTGGGAAGTACATAGCTGACATGGGCCCTGGCTCCAAAGGCTCCTTTCTTGTTTGTGTAGCCATGCCTGGGTCACACTTGGGCGTCATCCTGCCCTGCAGGTCCAGGGTTCTGCTACAGGTACCCACTCCCCACAGCAGCTCCTGGTATGTAGGTATGTACTCCTACTCAGAACAGGTGCGTTTGCTGTCCTTGCTGTCCCCAAAGTCAAGAGAAGATTCCTCTGTCTGGGGAGCATTGGCCATGCATGAGGACCTGGGTTCGAGTCCTAGTACCCATGTAAAAAGCTGGGCACAGTGCTGCTTGCTTTTACAAGCAAGGATGATGATGAGGGAACAGGAGGACCCTTGGGACTTGCTGGCCAGCCAGCCTAACCCTGGAAAGGACACTCCCACAAACCACACAGCCACACACAAACCATACATATACACATATACACAAACCACACACATACAAATCACACACACATATAAATCACAAACACACATACACACACATATATACAAACCACACACACAATACAGATGCAATAGAGGTGACATCTGCTTTGCTACCTGACCCACCTACACCTGATCTCTCTCTCTCTTCCTCGTGTGTGTGTGTGTTTAGGGAAGAAATGAAGTCTGGCTGAATACTGCAGCATCCAGGGTGCAGACTGTCAAAGGGGCAGGCTTGGCCTTCCTTTGGTTTGGGGTCCATGTTCCCCAGCTCTTGTGTTTGAGAGAGGCTGTGTCTCCTGGCTTCATTCTCTATAGTGTCCAGGAGGACATACCATTTGGCTCATGGTGTGGGACATATACCAGGCATGATGGCAGGCAGCTCCACAGGGCCAGAAGAGTGGGGCTTCCTTTAATCTCATAGTAGAGCTGGAAGCGAACACTGACAGGAAGTGGGCGCTGACAGGAAGTGGGCGCTGACAGGAAGCGGGCGCTGACAGGAAGCGGGCACTGGCAGGAAGCGGGCACTGGCAGGAAGCGAACACTGGCAGGAGGCGGACCCTGGCAGGAAGTGGGCACTGGCAGGAAGCGGGCACTGGCAGGAAGCGAACACTGGCAGGAAGCGGACCCTGGCAGGAAGCGGGCACTGGCAGGAAGCGAACACTGGCAGGAAGTGGGCACTGACAGGAAGCAGACACCGGCAGGAACCAGGAACTGGGCCCTGGCAAGAAGTTGGGCCCTGGCAGGAAGCAGACACCGGCAGGAAGCAGACTTTGGCAGGAAGCGGGTCCTGGCAGGAAGTTGGGCTAGGCTATAAACATGAAAGTCTGTCCTTCAAAGATCTGCTTCCTCTTTCTAAGTCCCACCCCTTAAAGGTCCTGTTCCCTCCCCTGATAGTACCAGCAGCTGGGGACCAAGTGTTCAAATGATGAGCCTGGGGTAGGGGTCATTGCCACATCCAAGCCAGAACAGTTGCTTCCCTAATACCATAGAATTCTGAATATCAGAAGCCAGGTTCGAGCCTATCTAGAACATTCTACAGACCCAAGTAGAGCCAAGCAGGAGATAAACCTTTATTTGACTACCGGAATGTTCTAGGTGTTGAGTTTCCATGCTGTAGCTCCAGGTCAGGTCCTTCCCACTGTCCCTTTGAGTCTGGCCCCTGCCTCCATCTCCTCTTGGTTAGAACAATGGCCCTGGAACCCTGGACCTTCCTCAGGCAACCCGGGGCTCTCTGCTCTCAGTGCCTGCCGCTAGTCACATGACTGTTTAATCAGTGCGAAACAACTGAGCTCCAGGCCTCCAATCACATTAGCTGCTTCCCTGGTGTCAGTGGCCGCTGTGGCTGTGGCTAACACATGGATGGGGCACTGATCTATTGCCCAGTGCTGAGAGTGAGAGGCAGCCATATGTCCACCCTCGTGTGAAGCCAAGAGAGGTTTTGCTGCTTGGGTTAGCCAGACCTTCCGGAGCTTCCTACTCCAACAGAGGCTGTAATTGTGGCACAGCCCATATAATCCATGTTGAAAGCAGTTGCCATCTGGCTGTCTACAGAGAAACTTCCCATCTCTGATTTAGGGGATGATGTTTGGGCTGGGGAAGAGGCAAGACTGAGGTTTGGAGGCTGGAAGAAAGCCTGCCTGAACCTAGGTGAAGCAGATCCCAGAAGGCTGCTGGCAGCTCTCTGTGGGGATAGTGACTTCTCTTGGAAGGATGGGGGCGGAGCTGACAGGAATTGTCCATGAACTGCATGGAAGAGATGGGCTGGAGTGTGGAATGGATGAGGTAGGAGGGCGTGGGCACTTGGCTCTCGGCTGATGGGCCTCGTGGGACTCATCCCAGGGAAGGCTGAGGCTCCGCCTCTTCCCATGCTGTGGCTTCAGTCTGGGAAGTGCCTGGAGCCAGGTTCTCAGCAGGATGGTTGCTGAGAGTAGAAGAGGTACGGGGTTTTGGTGAAGCCCAGCCTGGAGCTGCAACCCTGCCATCTCACCCACAGGGAAGCTGAAGCAGGTGATTGCAAGTCAAAGCAATGTAGTGGCATCTTGTCCCCACATAAGATGCCAAAGGAAGTCTGTGGAGATGGTTCAGTGGGTGCAATGATTGCCACCCCAGCAGGACCTGGATCTGCATCCCCGGAACTCGTGCAGAAGGTGAATGCTGTGGCCATAAGCCCAGTGCTGTGGGGACAGAGACAGGATCCTGGAGACTCTTCCTGGCAAGCAGAGCTGAAATGCCAAGCAGTAGATTCCGTGGGAGATGGGGAGCAATAGAGGAAGTCATGATGTCAAGGCTCTGGCTGTCCTGGAGCTCACTCTGTAGACCAGGCTGACCTTGAACTCAGAGATCCATCTGCCTCTGCCTCCCAAGCGCTGGGTTTAGAGGCATGCGCCACCACTGCCCGGCTCATTTGCCCCATCTTCTGCTGACAGCCAAGATGAAGGATGTGGAAGAAGGAAGCAGCTCTGCTCGCCCCACGCATGCACTTGTGTGTCCATGCAACAGACACACAGAAGAAAGAAAAAGGCCCCAGCTATAAGCCTTCACCTGCTTAGCACATCAAGGTTCTGGGTTCAGCTGCTGTACAGAAAAAAACAAAAGAGTTGGACAAGGATATACGTGGGCCTCTAGGCTGTTTGCCCCTCTAGGAAGTGAGAGAATCTCATCAAAAGAGAAGTGGGCAGGATGTTGAAGCCAGAGGACCATACATGGGAATGACTACCCAAAGGGTATCTGTGGAGGAAGACCCAAGGTGACGTTGCAGTAAGGGGTGGGTACAGGGAGCAGAGCCCACAAAGAACACTGAAACCGGCAGCTATGTCCAGAGTAGCAGGGATGTGTGAGAGCCAAAAGCCAAGAGGAGAATTAGCGCTTAGTGACTTAACAGGGCAGCCATGATGGGGGAATGGGAAAGACTTCTCAGTTAGAAGAGAAAGGAGTCAGAGTACAGGGGCACAGCTCTGGTGATAGTGTTCAATGAGTTCATTTGCGTTAGTTAATTCTTTTATTTCTGTGATACTGAAGCTCAGATTCAGGGCTGCACACGTGCTAGGCAGGGGTTCTGCCATGGGCTTACATCCCAGCCCTCTTTCCCTTTCAGTTTTGAAACAGGTCTTGACAAGTTACCAGTGCTGGCTTTGAACTTATTCTGACACCCAGATGGTCTTTGGACTTGTGATGCCCTTGCCTCAGCCTCTAGAGTAACTGGGACTGCGGGTCTGTAGAGACTTACAGCGGAAGTGAGGTAGAGGGGCTGACATATGAACTCAGGAGTGGTTGGACTGCTTCCCCCATAGCATGTGACTGAAATGGAGAGACAGACAGACAGACAGACGGACAGACAGGGTAAGGTCTATCCGTAGGGGACAGGGCTGTGAGACTGGCCCATGTCAGTGTTTTCATCCCGTTCTCAGATGGAACCTCAGCACAGCAGAGAGATCCACGCTGATCCCGCTGGCTCATCCAGCATGAGAGCCCCAAGCCCAGGCTGTCCTGTCTCCATGTTGAACTTTCTTGTGGCAACTGGGAGTCCAATCAGAATGCATAATCCAAGTCCCTGGGAGGAAACCAGATCCCAGAGAATAAATTACTGTGCATGACTGAAACCCGTGCCAGGAAGCATACATGAGAGCCACGGAAGAGCTGTGGTACTCGGTCTGGTCACCCACTGCAATGATATATCAAGGACAGGGGCCCCTTCCTAAGCAGAAAAGCCTGTTTTCTCCCAGCCCTATTATGACAGCCTCGTCTAAATACTCTATTTTTTGCCTTTGAACCAGCCAAGATGCCATCGGCGTCCAGTGCTGAAGAAGACGATGCTGGCAGCCTCCTGCCCACCACTGATGAGCTCTCTCAAGCCTTAGCTGGGTCTGACTCCCCGGACAGTCCCCCCAGACCCCTGGAGAGATCTGCGAGCCAGCTCCCCAGCCCTCCTCTGCTGCCCACCCCGCCACCCAAGGCCAGCTGTAAAGCCACAAAACCTGTCACAGGTGGGTCTGTATGCCCTTCCTCCCCTCTGTTCTCCCGCCTACCCTCCTCTCTGTCCATGGCTTTGGCCCATCTTGCCTGGCTCCAGATTCAGGCTGACTCTCACCTTTGCCTGTGCCTGGGCTCCGCAGGCTGTAGAGAGAGTTCCTACGAGGCCATGGTTGTTGAGTGGAGACTGCTTGGGCTCTCTTCAGCAGATGGGAGGGTTCTGTGCCAGTCAGAGGGGAATCTTCTAGACTCCCAATCCAGGGCATGCAGTCAGCCCTCAGGATGGAACCTTCCTCGCCATGCACACAGATGCCTGCATTGTCTCTTCTGCTCCCTGAGAGTGCCCCACTCCCTCCTCCACACCTCTCTGTGTGTGCATCTGGGCAGAGCCCAGGGTGGCCCTGGCTCTTCATGTGACAGCCCCCCTGTCATCTGCTCCTGTGTCATCTCTCTCTGTAGCTCTGGCCTCACGGGGGGGGGGGGGACTAACTACAGGAAGTCAACATTTACTCATCTGGGTAGGCAGGCTAGTCACCGAGTGGTGGCTTTCTTCTCTTCTAAGAGCTCATTTCTAGGTGCTCCTGTTAGAAGCAGTGGGCACAAAAAGACTCTAGAGAGCAGAACCCAGCTTGGTGAGGCCCCTCACTCTGTGGGACAGGCGCTACAAACATCCCTCGCTAGGCTGAGCCTTGACGGAGGAGGGGCAAGCATTCTGTGCCCAGTTTAGAACACTAAAGACTTAGAGAATGTAACAGACCCTGCTGCTGACCATGGACTCGAATTCTGCTCTGTCACTGCAAACGTGACTGGGCCCCACTTCGAGCTAGCCACCTTATTCTGCTGTTTGATACTGTCTTGATGTCTTGATTACTGTTTCGTTGTTGTGAAAAGACACTAGGACCACGGCCACACTTATAAACTAACTTTCAGTGGTGTGTGTCTGTGTGGGAGAGGCTTGCTTAGTTTCTGAAGAAAGATTAGTCCACCATCATCATGGCAAGAAGCTGGGTGCTTACATCCTGACCTGCAGGCAGGCAGAAAGAAAGACATTGGACCTGCTGAGGGTGTTTGAAACATCAAAGGCCACTTCCAGTGACATGGATCCTCCAACAAGACCACACCCACTCCAGCAAGGTCCCAAGTTCAATTCCCAGCAATCACATGGTGGCTCACAACCATCTGTAATGAGGTCTGGTGCCCTCTTCTGGCCTGCAGGTATACACACAGACAGAATATTGTATGCATAATAAATAAATAATTTAAAGAAAAAAAAAGAAATCAAGCATGCACATTTATGATCCTATGGGGCCATTCCTACCTCTACATATACCCTGGTTCCTCCTGGTTTTCCCAGAGACTTATTATTGATCATGAATGCTTGGCTTTAGCTTAGGTTTGTTCCATTAGCTCTTTTAACTTAATTTAACCTGTTTCTATTTATCTTTGTTTTGCCTCAGGGCTTTTTACCTTTCTTACATTTTGTATGTCCAACTTTTCTGCTTCCTCCATGTCTGGCTGGTTGACCCCTGCCATCTCCCTGGTGTCTCTTTTTCTTTCCCCCCTCCAGCCTAAAGTTCTCCTCTACTTACCTTCCCTGCCCAGAAATCCCACCTGTACCTCATCCCTTGCTATTGGCCATTCAGCTTTTTTCTTAAACCAGTAAGGTGCCTTAGGCAGGCAAGGTAAAACAACAGCCCGTCTTTACATAATTAAACAAATGCAGCACACCTTTGCATAGCTAAACAAATACTCTGCAACATTCTGGGAGCTGAATTCTGGTCTCTGGAGTCACAAGACAAGTACTCTACCAACTGAACCATCTTCCCAGCCATGCTGGTCCTATTTGGATCATGGTGAAGATCCCTGGCTCTTGGAAACTCTGTTGAGGGTCAAAGTGGGCGTCCATGCTCCTCCCTTCGCCATGGCTCCAGCGTCCTGTGGCTCCCTGCATGTCGCCTGCCTGGCCTCTAGAGGCTACTTAGCTCAAATCCTTGCTGGCCTGCTCCTGTTTTGATAGCCCACTCTACTACAGGGTCCCACAACCTCTCCTGGTGCGGTTGGAGCAGGGGGAGCCTCCTGTCAACAACTTTGAGCCATCCTTGAGCCTCAGTTTTTCCCTTTGAGAAGTGGGAGCAGTAAGAGGCACAACAGACACATGTTAGTCTGCCAGGGGGGTAGCATGCTCCTCACGATCCTGAAGGGTGCTGGCTTGTGCCCGCTGTGGATTGGTCTCTGTTTCTGTATTGTGCTGGGCTGATACACACGTGACTGACTGTGGTAGAGAGACCTTTGGTGAGATGCCAGTCCCAGGCTGGCTGCCATGTAAGTGGATAAGCCGTGACACTTCCTTTTTGATGTTTGTACAACTTTTCTGCTAAGGACTGGAGGCGATGCTGACTAAACAGGGGTCTGGGAACACAGAATCCCTGTGGGTGTTCAGGGCATGGTAGACATCTCAAGCAGGAAATGTCCCCAGGAGGAAGCGAAGCCCTGTCCCATCTGCCCACACAGGCACTGCTCATCCTTTGGGTGACAGATAATCAAACGTTTGTAGAGAAGACTCAGCCTCTCCCTCGTGGCTGAGGAGGACGAGGTCGGATGGTCTGTCTGGACTGGTCCTTGGGGTTCTACACAAGATGCAGAGAAGGTCTTGCTGAGGAAAGGATAGAGAAGAAAAGCTTTTGACTCAGAGTTGTTCTGTGGAACAATGGTCTTGTACCCTGTAAATATTTGCTACTTGTATTGGTTTAATAAAATGCTGAGAAGCCATGTTGCTCCCCGCAGGAGACAGACACACCAGAACCTTGCCAGTAAGCCACAGCCCCATGGTGATACACAGATTAATAAAAATGGGTTAATTTAAGATATAAGAGTTAGCCAGAAATATGCTTAAGCTACTGGTTAAACAGTATTGCAATTAATACAGATTTCTGTGTAATTATTTCAGGAGTCTGGTGGCCGGGAAACAAACAAGCAGCCTCCCCCAACAGCGTTGGGGCAGCACAGGGCTTCAGGAATTGGAAGGATTTTTGTGGGGTACACTGAAGAGAGTAGCATGGGGGTCAGAAAGAGATGATGCCAGGGGGCTGAGCATGGCCGCCCAAGGGGCTTCGGGACTGGACCATGAGTCTATGTCACCTCAAAAGGAAGATGAGAAAGATGCACCAAGGTTCACAATCCAGAAGGAGCCCCAAGGGCTGAGGTGCAGGGAGGGGGCTGGACGTGAACGGGGACAGGTGGTGTCTGGAGGGCAGAGGTAGCAGGAAGGGTGGCTGCAGAGCTCTGGAAGTATCGATGATTCCCATGTAGCGACGAGTAAGTCCGGGAAGCTGACTCTTCAAAGGGAAGAGAGAAGGGATGCTGTTTGCCTAGAACTTCTCCCCTAATAGAATGGCAGTATAGATGTAGGACCTTGGGTAGGCGTGTCCTGGTCTCTTTCCTGGGAATAGACTCAGCCAGGTGGCCTGGCAGGGTGGGAGGGATACACCTTACATCTTCCTCCGGGCCTTGGTCCCTGTGTGGAAGGTGACACTTGTGTCCATTCCTGCTCCTCCTCAGGGCAAGCTGCGCTCTTCCAAGGCCCCAGCATGAAGAGCAACGAGCCGGCACTCCGAGGACAGCTTGCCACCCCCACAGGGTCCCCTCATCTTACCACTGTCCACCGGCCACTGCCCCCCAGTCGCGTGATTGAGGAGCTACACAGGGCATTGGCCACAAAGCACCGTCAGGACAGGTGAGGCTGTAATCCCCCACCCTTGTGATACCAATGAGAACCAGCCCTGCGGGAATGCTTCCTAGTCACGCAGGGCCTGGACTGGGTTTCTTGTTCCACTGGAACCATCTTGAATTTCTTAGTCGGACAGACGTCATGCATATGGAAAACCAGCCAGGAGACTCCTGCATGATCCCTCGGTGGGTGGGATTGGGGTCCTCCTGGGAAGGAATAGTTGGGAGAGGGATTATTCTTAACTTAGGCCTCTGAAGGCCCAGGGACCTAATGATGAGCTCACAAGCTGCCCTGTGCCCACAGCTCACTTGATTTTGATGGTTTATGGCTGGTGTGAAGGAAATGGCCCTTGCTGGAGGAGAGTGACCCCATGAACTACATGCTAGTTTGGTGGCATCTTGGAGGAACGCAATGTCTTTCTCAGGTCTCTGAAACCTTTGGTCTGAATGATTGAACTACACATTTTGGCAGGGTTTTGCATATGCCCACTTTTCAGATAGGATACAATGCAGAGCCAAGTACTGTAGGTTCAAAGCCCCAGGTTCCTTTCAAAGCCCTCGGCACAAGACGCCCAGGTCCGAGTGGAGAAATCATTCCAGGCCACCGCCACTGGAGTGTCCGCCAGCTCCTGCATTGATTCCTATGTGTTTCTAGCAAAACGGGCATGTGTAACACAAGCCATCTTTCACATCTAGTTTTCAAGGACGGGAATGCAGAGGGTCTCCAAAGAAGCGGATGGACATGCGTCTGTCCAGGACATCCAGCATGGAGCGGGGCAAGGAGAGGGAGGAGATGTGGAGCTTTGACGGGGCCTCTGAGAACAAGCGGACTTCCGCCAAAGACTCGGAGGAGAACAAGGAGAATCTGATACTGAGCTCCGAGCTCAAGGATGACTTGCTTCTGTATCAGGATGAGGAAGCGCTCAACGACTCCATCATCTCTGGTGAGGAGGGCAAGGGCCAGGGGAAGGAACCAGCCAGTGCTCCGTCTCCCTGAGCCACAGGGAAGCTGGCGCTTTTCTGCTAGCCATTGGCTAGGAAGGGGCAGAGTAGATAGCCTGCATGAAAGCCATGGGGTGGAAAGTGGGCCATTCCCTGGAGGCGGGGGTACAAGGCCCAGCAAGGACTTTAAAGGCACTGGGTCATCTTGTATCTAGAAGGATGGATGTTTGCTCCAACAGATGTTGGCAATGCACACGAGTGGACTGTGAGTGACTAGAGAGAGCACCCCTAAGCATGACCTGGCCAAAGACACGGAGGTAGTGTACCCATGGCCAACGTCGTACATTCTTATTTTAAAACGAGATGAAAAAGGGAAGGAGGGGAGTCAAAATCAAGTAGCTGACTGACCCCCCCTCAATGGCCGCCACATCAGGAGTGACGTGAATGGACAGACAAATGGACATAGGCAAGACAGGGTTTTCATAGGGTTTCTGAGTCTGCGTTTGTGTCTCTATATTCTCCAGGGGGAGGGAGAATTCCCTGCTACTTGCAAAGGGAGCCCAGGAGGCTATCAGGACATGCAGCTTAGGGTCCTTGATTCCTGAACTCAAGGACGAACACCTGTCGTCACATTCTCACGGGGAAGCATGACTCTTGAAAGATACAACTTTTTAAATGTTTGGAAGATGACCTCAGCACCACTTCCCCCATCCAAGAAACGTGATAAATATTGCTTGTGGGGGGACAATTATTCACAGTGGGAACTTCCCATGAGGCCTTTCTTCTTGCCAACTACAGACAAAGTCAAATGGAGCAATTGGACCCTGTCCATTGCCTCCTAACTTGAGACCCCATCCTCACCGTCTCAGCTGCTGTGTGGTATAGACAGGAAGGCGGAGGCAGCAGGTGGACCTGTGATATGTATCTCCCACCCTCCACACATCAGCAGGGGTCAAGGTTCAGGCCTCCCATCAGCAGGTGTGTGTGTCAAGGTTTAGCATCTGCCACACCGCACTCTTGATGACCCGTACGAATGTTCCAAGGACTTAATGTTTAGAAACAATGGAAGCCTTTTTAGGGACAGGCCTGGTTTCTTAGTGGCTGGGACTGTGTGCTGTAGTTAGTTGTGGTCAGATACTGGAAGCTGAACTTCTTCAGTGTAGTAAGGCACTTCATGAACCCTGCATTCATGTGTTTCTTGGATGCAGAGCTCCGTGCTCTGGGCTGGGAAATTTATGCTTTGTGGCCAGCAGGTGGCGCTTTGTGGCCAACAGGTGATGCTTCTCTCTCTCTCTCTCTCTCTCTCTCTCTCTCTCTCTCTCTCTCTCTCTCTTCATCACTGGGCAGCAGAAGTTTAGATTCTAATCTCTGAGATAAACTGGTGGGCTGTTGGGATGAGGGAAGAGGAGGCTGTGTTTGTCCTCACTGGACACCAAGTGACAGACATGTCAGGGCGGGACTAGGTGGCCAGTGACAGCCCCAGCCAGTCAGTGCTACCTTCAGGTTTTCATTTGGAGCTGGGACTTGGTCAGAGTTCTTGTGTGGTCTGCCGCCTCTGTGAATGGCTTCTTGATGTCGCAGGTTCTATTCTGTCCTCTATCCCTGAGGTAGAGGGAAGGGAACTGGCTGGTCCACTGCATCCAGGTCTTTGGCTGTGCAGTTCCAATGCAGGCTTATGGGTTTCCTTCTCATAGGCATGCTGTAGGATGCTGGTGTTGCAGGTGACCCGGGGCACGCGGCAGGGCCTTCAGAGAGGTGATTGGAGGAGATACATGGACAGCGAAGGTTATTCTGTAATCTCCATGTTCTCTATGAAAATACGATGGCCTCTTTCAAATGCTCCTAGAGGAGCTAACTTGGCTGCCCCAGGGCCTGGCCTTTGGAGTTGTCAGCCTTCTTAGCACCCAGGTGTCCCCTGGCTAGAGGGTCCTTCCAGACTTTCCATCAGATGCTCATGGAGTACTGGGAAGATGTGCTGTAGGTATGGGCAGGGTTACTGGCAGGAAGAGGTACCCTCAAGGAAGGCAGTTTTGTGTGAAGACCACAAAGGGCCTGACAACCATCAGAGCTAATCTCTGGTTTCCCCGGGAAGAAATTCTGTCACCTTATCCCAGCTAAGATCCCAGCTCTTCGGGTTGCTATTGAGTTTTGAACTTGCTACCACCCACAACTGTGTGAGCTGTGTTTGATGACAGTCTTATGGATCTGCATGTATAAATGCATGTATACGTCTATGTATGTTTTGTGGGTGGTGTGTGCATCCTGTTGCCTGTGTTTCTTTGGAGAAACTGGCTAATCTCCAGTCAGTCTTAAACTCCAGCCACAGTTGAGAACAAAGTCTTTTTATGTATTTGTTTGGCTGTGTGTGTGTGTGTGTGTGTGTGTGGTCTTGCTCTATCACTTTCTGAGGCAGGTCTCAGAACTGCAGACAGCAAGCCCCAGTGACATCTTGTCTCTGCACCCCCACCACACGTGACTGTGCTGTGCTGTTTACACAGTCCCCAGGGGTTTGAACTCGGGTCCTTCTTGCTTATGCAGCAAGCTTCTTACCCACAGAGCCACTTCCCCAGGCCTAAACCTTTTAGCTTTGTTTTCAGTGACCAATGACACGTGTTTAGACTATGTGTTGGTAACCATGTCATGTTCTTAAGCGTGACCACATCAGAGTGGCCAAGCCAGGATGAGCAAAGAAGCCCAGCACCCCGCAGTACACAGGAAAATCTCCTTCCTCCTGTGTGAGAAACACAGTGCTGAGTTTATATGGTCGCCCTGTGCATACCACAGGTCACTAGAGCTCTTTCCCCAAGATCACCACGAGGCTGAGCTTCCGTCAGTGTCTCTTCTCTCACACCACACTCCAGCCTCAGATGACCACAGGTCAGCCCAAACTTCCATGAACGCGGCAGCTCTGAATGCATCTCTGTGCCTGCCTCTCTGTGCTGGCAGGTTCTACTCAACAGAGTCCTCCAAGGTGCTTCAGTGTGGTACATGATAGAATTCTGCTCTCCTTTCCTTTGATGAAACAAAACAGAATTCTGTTCTGTGTATACATCGGGCCGTCTTTCTCCATCCATTTGTAGGTTGATCGTCTGTTGTGGATTTAGGAAGCAAGCTGCCCTGTACACAGAAGGTACAGATAGCCCTCTGGCACACTGAGTTTTAAAATATATATTTACCTGTCTATGTCTATGTGCCAGGAATGAGGACAGAGGAGAGTGCTGGGTTCCCTGGAGCCGTTGTGAGCTGCAGGTCATGGCTGACCGAGAAGAGCAGCCCGTGGACACGTGGTCGTAACTGCTGTGCTAAAATTTTAATTCCTTTGGATTGATACTCAGGAATGACACCCTGGCCATGCACTAGCTGTGCTTGCATTTCCCGAGAGGCCCAGGCTGCCTGTACAGAGCTGGATTCCCACCAGCAGTGCCTGAGAAGCTTCCTTCTGCACCCTGACCAACCCTCCTGTCATTTGCTTTTCCCTGGTGGGCGAGGGCTGGCGTCCTCCGGATGTAACTCAGTTTTCCTGGTGTGGAGTGGTGATGGTGGGCTTTGCACATATACATGGGAGGGCTGTCTGTCCCTCGTGTGTGTGTGTGTGTGTGTGTGTGTGTGTGTGTGTGTGTATGTTTGTGCCTCTGGGGGCCCGAGGGTGGCACTGGTTGCCCCCCTCAGTTGCTCTCCACCTTTTGGGAGATAAAGTCTTTCATTGCCCCAGGGCTCACCAATCAGGCCAGCAGGTTCACCTGCAGCCTCTTAGATCCTGCTTCTGCCTCCCCAGTGCTGGGATTTCGGGAGCATGAGGCCACATCTTATACTTTACACGCATGCTGGGGATCTGAGCTGAGTTCCTCATGCTGTGTGGCAAGCTTCTGCGCCATGTCCCCAGCCCTCACTGGTTCAGTTCCAGTTTATACCCTTTTCTGCATTTTAAAACTGGGTCATTACTTGTTTTCTTATCACTGGTGTGTATTTCTTCTGCATGTTGTGTCTTGCCCTCACAGCCTAATGGATAGATGGCACACAAAACCATCTCCCTGGTGGTGTGGTTGGTGCTGTGGTCCTCGTTATTCTACCCGTTTCCATTCATGTGTAGAAGTGTTTTAAGTTGATACTATCTTGGTATTTGTTTTTTTTTTTTTTTTTGCACTTGGCTCTTTGGTCTTCTATAGGGAACCTTTACACATAATGCTTTGGAACCTTTATCTAGTGTTTTCTTGTTATAATTAATTCATGTTTAATGTCTTTTCCTCATCTCATGTTGATGTTCATTATATAATGTGAGCTGGGAGCTGGGGGTGAGAGGCGAGAGCGCATGTGTGATGCGGTAGCTCAGGTCCGATGTCCATTTTCCCTGGGCACCATTTGTCAGAGATAATGTTATTTCTTCCATTGTGTGGTCTTGGCACCTTTACAGAGAGTCAGTTGACCTCAAAGTGTCTATATATGGGCTCTCAACCTTCTCCCATGGGTGCCATTCCATTGTAATGACTTTATAGGAGAATCTGAAGTTCCTAGTGTGAAGCCAGCAGCCAGCAGGCGACAGGTGTGTAAGGAGATTGTCAACAGTTTGCACCACTCTGCCTGTACCATCAAGTCTGTACCATTGTGGTCTCTACGCAGGCGACACACGCTTATTGAGCTGTCTGTGCCTGGTGCAGGTGCCTATGGAGGGCTTTCTGACAGTTAATAAGTGATTATTGAGTTCTCTTTGCGACTAACAGGTTTATGGGGGTAGAGGTTCATCTTCATTGTCAACTCGATTGCACTTAGGGTCACCTAAAAGTCATCCTCACAGCCACACCCAGATGAGTGTTTCCAGGAGGTTTAACTGTGAGGAAGGACTCATCCTAAGCATGCAAGAATGCAAGAGGAAGGGAAGAAGGGAGCAGAAGATGCTGCCGAGCAGGCACCCACCTCTTCTGTTCCCTAAGGACATGATATGAGCAGCCACCTAAGGCTCATGCTGCATTTTGCCAGCCCCATTGCCACGTCTTCCCTTCTGTGA